AAATTGAAGTTTAAACATTCAACTTCAAGATTGTGAAGAGTAATCGGGGCTTATTTTAATTTAGACCGTTGTTTTTTAATTGTTAAATATGCGCATACACTCGATTTTTCAGCCGCCGCGGCGCGGCTCGCTAGAGTGCGCTTCTATCGTATTTATGCATAGTTTACATATACACTTACGCAAAAAAACCCGAACAAATCCTTGAAGTTTATTAACATAGTTTTTTCCATAATTTATTTATGTAGGTATTAATTATTGTCATTGGGATAATTAAATAAATCAATCATCGCAATGTAATAACCGTATATAGTTTTTTTTCTTAAAATTTGAACAATATAATTATTATTTATTGAGTATATCTTTATTTATATCAATTGTAAATAATATTTTTAAATTATTATTTAAATAATACAATGCAGTAAATATTAATATTAGTAAACGGCCAAACGTAATCAGGATGGTAACGCAATACCTGGAACTGGAAACCGTCGGTGTGCCAAAAATGAATTGGCCAGCTCAAAGCCCAGATTTGAAACCAGTTGAGGATGTTTGGGACCAACTCAACCGAAGAGTAAGAAACAGAATACCTGCTTCAATAAATTGTGATCAGCTTCGGTTGTCGCTTATGAAAGAATGGGAAGCTTTTTCTCAAGACAACGTCCAGAATTTAATCAATTCAATGCCAAGTCGAATGAGGAGTGTAATTCAAAATAGAAGTGGTAATATAGAATATTAAAAATCAAGACTTATAAAGAATATACAATTACAATACAATTTTTATAAAGAAAAGAGTAAAAATTTACAATGCTAATTTTTTTAATTTTCCATTAAAATTATCAATTTGGGAGAAATATTAATTGACTTTTTTTAACGACGTGCAGTGTATGTATTTCGACCTTATTAGGTTTCCTCATACCAATGTAGACTTATACAGCCACCCCCCACACGACTTATACTCGACTCCTTAGAAGCTCTCAGAGCTTCTGCATATAAGTCGCTCTAAGGAGATCTAATACGGTCGAAATATGTATAAGCGGATGGCATTAGCCCTGCATTGATATTAAATCTCAAACGTCTTTCTACTTTACACTTCCTTATTTCCCCTTTAGTTTTTGTTCTGGATCTTATAATAGTGTATAACCTTAATGTATACTGATCTTCGAGATATCATTTGATATGAGAATTGTTTGTAGTGCCCTGTGCTTCTGTGATCTTTATTTATTTTGCCATGCATGCAAAAAACTTTGAAAGAAGAAAATTAATTAAAAACCCCATATTCATTTAGTAATAAGAAAGTAAGTAGAAAATAATAACATCGATGTTCACTTTTTTGTCCTAAATTATAAAATAAAAATTATTTTGTCCTAAATTAAAGTAAAAACCAATTAAAAACTTACTTTGATTCAATATAATTCACGATAATTCACATGTTTGCATAAACATATATTTAAAAATTTATTTCATTTACTCGAATTCGTATGATTACAACTTCACTTTCAGTACATTATGTGATCTTAGTAATATTTACTCACAGATAATCTATGTCTACATGAAATATTGCCCAAGAAAAACGGTTAGCAATGCTTGATATACAAGGATGTATAAAAAATTATTTGGCTACCATAGAATTTGAAATCCAAAGTTTTAATTCAAACATTTATTACAAGACTTAACCCTTTCGCTGCGTCAAATAAATACATATCCATAGATAAATAATATAATAGTAGAAATAGATAGGCAACTCAATGTATAAATTTCGTTCATTAGGCCCCTTTCGGCTGGGGTCAATACTAATCATCTTTTGGCGGCAAATTCGAATGAACACCCCATACATACATACCCTTTAGCGCCTCTTGTGGGCTATTTCGTTACTAATTAAAATTTATTGGAAAATAAGGATATAAGATGCACAATTTTTTCTAGATATACGTATATTTATTTGTTGTTTAGGATAAAACAGTTATAAAATAATTACATAATATTTATTACACATATTTGCAGAAGTTAAATACTATTATTTTTTGCTTCCTGACAACTTACTATCATTCTTTTTGTAATTTTTCCATGATTTGTACACAACGAACAATACAATAATTCACCATGTTTAGTTTTGTTACAAGCACAACACAAAATTCTTTGCTACAATAGGTAACTCAAAATAAACTTTAAAAATTAAGTAACCGAATTTAAATTAAAATTACTAAGAATAAATGCAAACGAAAGTTAAAGATAATAAAATAAAATTGAAAACTTGTAAACAAACGGAAGATCTGTCATTAATTTGGATTGACAGAATTGACATTGCTTCGTTTGATTATTTTATTTGGTTTATGATTGGTTAAAGTCTTCGTGAGAGAGATAGGCTGTCATTTCTCTTTATTAACTCGCTGGGGTCAAAGTGATGGGGGAATGAACGAAGTCATTCATATAAGATTCCAGGCCATGTACATATCGCTGACCAGTGCGGCAGTAGTTTTTTAACACTAAATGCGATATTTGTTTAACAATTGTTTTTTGTACATATGTTAAAACCGATTATTACAATTTTTTCTCTGAATTTTTGCAAGACGCGCATGTGCGCTGTACGCAGTTTTCAAGGAATTTCTTTTAAAAATGCGGAGGACGCACTTGTGCGCTTGATACAAATTTTTGTATTTAGTAAATTAAATCGCCTTTTTTTATCTAAACTAAAATTTTATTCATTCAAACAGGATGTAAAATAAACAAATAACATATAATGTAAAATAAAAGTATACAAAATATTCATTTTTTCGTAATGTCTTTCGATATTGATACATGATATTCTCTGAAACATTTGCCTAAGCAGAGGCCAGGTTTATCGGGACATTCTTGGCAATGATAAATAGTATCCTTACGTATCTTATTTTTATTGCATGTCCGACATTTTTTTCTAAGAGTTTTACCACGTTCATTATGTAACTCAATTTTTGAAGGTGTGTGGTTTACACCCGAAGTAACTGCTACTTCTGCCGTTACAACTGCTGTTCCTTGACATTTTTCTGGTAACAACTTTTCAAGTATTGACAATCGAAACTTATAATATGACATTTTGTTATTTCCGTGGTACTTATTATACAATCTATGAGCATTTTGCAAATATAGCTGAAACAGATGTATGCCAATTTTTTTGTACCAACGTAAAGTTTTGCCTGTCGGCGGATAATAAGAAGACATTTGATCTTGAAGATCTACTCCGCCCATATATTTATTATATTTAATGATTGGCAGTGGTTTAATTTTCTCATCCCCTCGTCTATTTCTTACGGTTGCCATCTCATTTTTATATTCAGTTGAAATGTAAATGATATCTCTTTTGTCTCTCCATTTTCCAACCATTACGTTGTTGAGGTACATACTTTTGGTCTGGCCTTTTTTTACTTTGCGTCTACGACGTTTTTTGGACAGCCTTTCCTATCTTTTCTCAGAGTGCCTGTACAAAAACTATTTTTATCCAGTAGTAATTTGGCCAAGTTATAACTATTGTAATAGTTGTCCATATGAAGCGAATGTCCATGGTCGAAAAAATTACGCATTAGGTGTAGCACCACTCTTTCTGTATGAGACTTACCAGCAGTTGCATCACCTGCACCAGCATATATATAGATATCCAAAATTGTTGAATCGGCTTCTGTCAGCATATAAAGCTTTACTCCATACTTATGTCGTTTCTTAGGGAGATATTGCTTGAATACCAGTTTTCCTTTCCACAAGATCATAGATTCGTCTAGAGATAAATACTTTCCTGGATAGTATACCGTCTTCATTTTGTTATTAAAATGATCTAGCAAGGGTCTTACCTTATATAGTCGATCTACTGGAGCTGGTTCATTTTCTTTTACATTTTCGGCAAAATGAAGGCATCGCATTATAAGCAAATAGCGGTCTCTACTCATGTATGAAGAAAAACAAGTCGAAAATAATCTATTTTTCTTCCAGTAGTCTTGTATGCTAGGCAATTGGATTGTTCCTGTATGGAAGGTTAATCCAATAAATATTAGCAATTCCGATATTGTTAATTCCTTCCATAGGGAAATCCTTGAACGGTCACATCCTTTGCTGGTAGAAAGAACTTCAACTGCATAACTGTTAGTTTGTAAGACAATCATATTTAAAAGTTCGTCGTCAAACAACAGCCTAAACCAATCGTACGCACTATCACCAGGACTATCGACTAACAATCCACTTCTTTTTGTAAATGGAATTTGCTTCATACCGCTAGTTGTTTCGGTCCATTCATTGTCTGTAATCTGTACGTCAGAATTATCTGCAACGGTATTATTTAACTCGTTCTGTAGTGCATCATCCTCAGTATCACTTCCAGAAGAGTCTTCCGAAACATTTTCAATTTCAACTAAAAATATTAATTTCAGACCACAAGTTTATTATTACATTTATTTACTTACAGTTATCTACATCAGAGTCTTCATAATCGTCATCTGAGTCTGAATTATATAAAAACTGCATTAATTCCTCAACACTCAGATTTTTTTCATTTCTCACTTTCACGGTCTTACGTCTTTTTACGCCTGAAGGTCCAGCTTTATTTAAATCGGCCATTATTTTACGAACAATTAAACTTATAATCACACTAAACCGTTTGAAACGACAACACCTTTGAAAACCTAACTATGTGAGAAACTGATCTGCGACGCCACCTATGAATAGCTTTGCAAACCTAACTACATGATTCACCGAGCCGCGACGCCACCAATGTATAGAAGTGACCTTTAATAAAATGCGGACAAAGTTTTCTTGATCTCCTGAAACTGAGCCAATTATAAATGTATATGGAAATCACCATATACATAGACCGCTCATGTGCGCCATACGCATTTTACAAAGAAATGGGAGGGCGCGCATGTGCGCTTTACGCAGCGAAAGGGTTAAAATAACTAATTTTTGGTAATTTTGAAAAACCAATTTTTTTTTTCGCCTAAACTTTGATTTGGAAAAGGTCCCAATTTCAAACCTAGCACACAATGCTTCGTGTATTAAAATTTTATTTGACTGGGATGAAATCCGCAATTTAAAACAGATAAAAGGAACAAATAAACAAACAGATAAAGGAAAGAGAAAAATTAAAAGATTTCGACAAAATATTGGAGCCTCCACATTATGGAAATATATATTTCGGTATAAGTCTTAAGGTAAATCTTCATATTTTGTGTTAAGGTTTCTCCAGTTATTCTTCAGTTATTGTATGGGCAATTCTGAATAAAACACCCTGTCATCGTGTTGCGTCCCCCTGGGGGATAAGAGTAGATCACGTTCAGTAGTTTATTCAATAGTCCAATAGGACTTTACTGAAGAGGATCTGAACGCTGAGAAAGATTCCTAGAGCGAATTATTTGCGAAGGCTTTGGTGTAACTGCCTTAATCAATACAGTCGTAGTGAAATTACCTTCTTCAAAAACCGAATTGGAAGTTTGCGAACGATATTGCTCTCCGTAGTTAATTCTAAGAGTCTCTCCTTAAGATACCCCTTAAAAACTTTATCCAGAGTTTTTACACCAACATTTAAACAAACTTTTCTAATACATATTTTTTGATTATTTTTATTTAGTTTCTCTGTTTTAACTTTTTTTATAGAGGAGTACGATGAGCTGGGAAGACTTCAGAGAACATGCAATGGTGAAATAGCAGTCAACAAATGCGAAGGATCCTGCAAGAGCCAGGTGCAACCATCTGTTATCACACCTACAGGATTTTTAAAGGTAAGTAGTCAAGAATCAATATCTGATCAAGATATATCAAATAATACTGGATACAGTACGCAACCTTGTTATAATTAGTTGTAGTATTAGTTGTTAGTTGTTATGTTTAATCCCAAATTAAATCCCTAATTTGTAATCTCCCATTATGCCTAAAATCCTAATTTTAACTATATATTTGTATCAGACATCATATACCAACTTTGAGCTACCATTAAATAATTTACTCCTAAACATTCGAATTAATTGTAATAGTATATTTGTATATTTTTTTATAGGAATGCTACTGTTGTAGAGAGAGCTTCTTGAGGGAAAGAATAGTCACCTTATCCCACTGTTACGATCCAGACGGTGTCAGACTAACAGCAGAAGGAAATAACGCTATGGACGTCAAACTTAGAGAACCGTCCGAATGCAAGTGTTTCAAATGCGGCGATTTTAGCCGATAAAAACAACGTCTTTGTTTTATACATCATCTTAGGGTAGACTAACAGTGAAATAAACGTTTATAAATTAATTTTTCAGTATAATATTTCATTTATATGCCAGTTATTCGTAATTACTCTAGTCGTCAGAGAGGAAAATGCCACTGAATCTCTAACAATTATAAAAACAAGTAGAATTTTGCTGAGAATGTCAATTTTTATACCCCAAAAATGATGCAAAAAGTTTGAAACTACTAACCCTGGGCTTATCCCATCGAGTTAGAATCTATGGAGAAGCTATGAGCATATTAACGTGTGTATTAAAAACGGCGTAGGTAGGTGTGGCTAATGATAATACCAATATGGCGGTGGGATCATGGCCGGACTCAATAATATTAAAACTACTATAAAAATATGACTAGTTACTTAGAAGATTTAATCATAATCTAAAAAAGTGCAATACATTTTTAATAAACTATGATTTATTTATCCCTCGGTAAACACTAAAAACACGATATATTATACATAAAAATAACGTAAGAGCACCGAATTCCGACCGGTTATAAGTGGTATATATAAAATTGTTTGAAAGATCAATTCGGAATCATTGAAATTTAAAGTAATACATGTCTATAAGCTAGTATGCATTATTAATTCTTACTAGAGCCAAATTTATAATAATAACACTAGTCATTTCAACAAAATTGCTTATTGAAGAAACCAAATGCAAATATTTCGCAAATATCCATTTTCCGTCCACAAGAATGATTTTTTCCCAATTCCGTCCACAAGGTGCCGTTATCCGTCCTATTTATTTAGTTTTGGCAAAAAAACCCTTTAAGAATAATTTTTAAGTAAATTTGCAAAAAAATGACCAAAAAACAACAAAACACACAACGGATAATTTAAATATAAGTTTTATTTAAGTACAAAGTTTTGAAAAGAACTTAATGTCTGCAAATGAATTAAATAATAAAAAAGAAGACTTTATTTTTTTAGGTTTTCAATTTCTGGAACTTCATAGGCGCCGCGTTTATTTATGAGCAAAGGTCTCGCAATCTTACAAACTACATCATCAAAGTCATAATTTAAAATGTCATCTCTATCTGGCCATTTCCAGTACTTTCCACTCATAGTCATCCTTTTAACTCTTAAATTATCATTGCCTCTAGCCATATCTATATTCTTTTTATTTATGTTTTCCGTAATATTATTACCAGTATCTATGCCTGGTGTGTGTTTTGGAGGACAATTGTTCTTTTTTGCTTGTTGGATCTCTGTTTTTTCTTTTCTCTTTCGGATTCGTTCACATTTCTCATTTTCTTTTTCCTCTTTTTCTTTTTTGAGTCTTCGTTGATGTTCCATAAATTCATCACTTATAGCTACTGTAGGATAAATCTTTGGTTTTTTCCTTTCGTTGGTGTCTTCTGTGCTATTTTTTTCCTTGTAGAGCTTTCCGGCCAAAATAATGCTTTTTTGAAAGGTGTTGGATATTTACTATTATTCTCTGATGTTGTAATCTGCTTAAGTGGGGTTTTTTCTTGATTTTGTACTTGCCTTTGTTGATCAGAATGAACTATTGAATCATCTTTTAATGGGCTACTACAAGGAGTTTTGTTTACTACTTTGTTCTTAAGTGGTGTTTTTTCTTGGAGTGAACTTACTGCTAAATAATAGTCTATTTTCTCAGAATCATTGTCCTTGGATGATGATGGACCAGGTTTTGGCGAACAAGAATTGCTATTCTGTGAAGGAATTAAGACCAATGCTCCATCTGCTTTGACTGTAGCTTCAATTGTATCATTATTGCGAAAGCAAAAGTTTTCATCGAGGTGTATGTCAGCAATGGTGTTGTTAGCAGCATTTATCGGCAAATTGTTTTCCAAAGTTGTATCGTGATCGACATTTTGTGGATAAAGACTCTTCCAGAAATCATACAATGCTACATATTTTTCTTCTAGTTGGGCCGCTGATTCAGCAATCTTAAAACTGTTAACAATTTCTGGGTTTAAGCGTATCTCTACCTCTAGAAGTAGTTCAGAATCAAAAACATTAACAGGTGTAGTTTATGTGGATTCGGTTATTTTATCATCAGAATCTTTTTGTTCTATTGGTTTTATTAATTTTGAATAATCAATGCCATTTTCGTTGAACGGAAAGAGTCCACATGATTCAAATGCACTTTTTATTATCGATGTACAGACTGTAGCCTTCAAAGTTTTGTCTAAGAGTTTTGCAAACTCAGCCCGTTGAAGTTTTCTTCCGTTATTCTCCATACGCCAAGATCGAACATCTTTTCGCCAGTTATTTTTAATGGGATAAAAAAAAACCAACATCTAACGGCTGTAATCGGTGAGTTGCGTTGGGGTAAAATGCTGTTAAAATGATACCTTTTTCTTTGCAGAATTCAGTAATAGGCAGATTGATGTGGGAAGAGTGTCCATCCAGAAACAATATCACTGGGAGTGGAATACTGTTCTTATCCAACCAGGGAAAAAATACATTTGTAACGTATTCATAAAATGTCTCACTTGTCATCCAACCAGATTCAGAGTGCCCAACTCCCCACTGTTTTGGCATGTTCGTTATTATTGCAGCTGACACATACCTTGTGTAGGGATACAAAACTAATGGCGGAGGCACAGAACCATAAGCTCCAACAGTTATCAAAACTGTAAGACATTCTTTTTCGTCATTAGCTATGCGATTGTATACCTTTTTCGCACCTTTTCTAACCAAAACTTGTTTTTCTTGAGGGGATAAATAGAAACCACTTTCATCACAATTGAATATTCTTTTGGGATCTTTAAGAATATGTAAATAATTCATTTTTGTCATATAATCCCGAACTTGGTTAAACCAATTTTTTATATTTTGTTCCGTAACTGCGGCTCTACAAGAAGATAGTGATTGTGGAACACGTTTTGAAATTTCTGGATGACGAGCGAGAAAACCATTGTACCATTTTTTACCAGGTATGTAATTTTTAAATGGGGTTTTTCGTTTCAAATTTTGAATTAGTTTTGAAACAGAATCAACAAGTTGAGATCTTGTTACCGGGAATCCCACGTTGCCTATTTCGATTATCCATTTTACAATCAAGTCTTCTTCAGAACTGGACAAAACTGTTGGCCCTCCAATATTGCCTGGAGTTTTGTACTTTTCTTTCATAGTATCTAACAAAGTACTTTTAGGAACATTGTATATTTTGGAGGCTTGTCGAATACTTAAACGTTTTAAATTAATATCTTCTGTAGCTTTTTGGATATTCTCTCGAGGATATTTCATACGATTTTTGTATACCATACTTGCAGATAATAAAAACTGAAACAAAAATCTTTTATTAGTAATATTTTATGGGGTCGGTTACAGGAGTTTAAAATAGTTCTGTCCGTCCAACCTGGACGGATACAGGCCCGAAGGTTCCTGTGTCCGTCCAATTCCTTTAAATGAGTGTTTTACTAATTAGATAGTCATTTTATCATACTTGATAATACAAACTAAGAGAGAGAAATACCATAAACATTTTTTACAAATTAAAACTAAACCAAACTTACACATTAAATCTAGAATAGGTAATAAATGCATCCTTCTTGAGTTAAATTTTAAATTGAATTTTCGAATGCACTTAATATTTGACACTAATTTTCTTAAAATGAGTTGTACCTATTATAGGTCGTATTCAGGTTTTTAAACGAAGCAAAACATTTAAAATGTTGAAAATATGCTGGATTATATTATTTAACTAAGACTTTTATTTAAAAAGCGTTTGAAACTGAAGGAGTTAATTCCTAATACCGTCCGGTAGGACGGTAACAAGGACACCTTGATATTCTAAATTACCCTATTCCGTCCACTTTAATTTCTGTCAAAAAATCTATTGTTCGAAAATAATCACAAAAATATATGTACATTTACAATAAATAAATTTGTAAGATTCAAATAAAAAAGTAAAAACATAAGTGTTAAACGTAGTATGTATAAAATATGGAAAATAAGTATTCCTTACCTTTATGTTTTTTTGGAATCAGTATCGCTTGAAACAACACATGCACTTGCAATGAACTGAACTGCATTGACAGCACTGAACGTAAAATGTCTACGTGCTAAAGGTAGGATGAGTGGGGATATAACCTATCAAAAATTTTACTCGGCCGTCTGATTGAGACGAAACTCTGAGGTATAGAGCGTAATTTCTTTGTCGGACGGAATTGGGAGACTGGACGGTATACGGTGCTTTTACGTTAAATGAATACAGTCAAATACTATTAATTTATTCTCTGAAGTACGGGCCATTACTGTGTTTACATATTTGTATACTAACATGTACAACGTTATTCCTGAAGATTTTTTATTAGCATTGCTTCTGCTACTGCAACTACGTTGAGAACAAGAAACCATTATTATGCACTATCACAATATATTATTACAATTTCTATAAAAGTATTATAAAACTAAAAATATTCGAAGAACAACAAACGTAAATAAACTTATACGATCTGTCAAAAGTGTCAAAACAATACTAACAATAGTATTAACAATATGGCCGAAGTGAGGTCGTTTTTAGTCACGTGATGCCCTCTCCATAGATTCTAACTCGATGGCTTATCCCTAAAAGCCATCTCGTGGGGGGGGGGCATCGATTTACCCGAATCGGTCTTCTTCTTCGTGTGCCTTATCCTTTAAGGACGTTGGCGATCATCATGGACCGTTTTACTATGTCTGCAGCAGTTCTGAAGAGGTCTATTGTTGTTTTTTCACCCACTGCTTTATATTTTTCAACCAGGACGTGCGTCGTCTCCTCGGTCCTCTTTTTCCTTCCACTCAAGGATCTGTACTCCCCAGAAAAAAATATTTCAAACAAAAATGTTTATTAGCACTTTTTGTGTAGACTTTTTTCTCTCAGAAACAACGATTGAAGCGACCGGCGTTTCTATACCTATATCATAGAATAATAAACAATCACAGAATGCCCACTCTGCTTGTCAAGAATCTCGTTCGCCCAGACAGAATCAGCCATGTTTTAAACGGAACCAGTACTGTTCAGTGAAATTTTATCTAGTGTGCATAGATAAATTAACCCAGTTTAATTTATTTAGGGCAACCATAGACATAATAAATGATATGAGGTTGAATGCTCGAATAAATGAACTTTGAAATTTAAGGCAATTATATCGAGCACAAGTTTAATCAAATCTTGCCCAAGTACTTTCGCTTAATATAGCATCCTCAGGAGAATTTCGTCAAATATGCGTAACATAAAATTGTATAAACACTACACTAGAACAAGGACAAACAGTTTAAAATTAATAAAAAAGTTCTACGCTACATTCTTTGGGGGTAACAGGAGAGAGAATTCCATTCTCACTTCACTTTTTTTTCATTTCACTTTTAAAAATAATTTCTTTACAATTACTTGTTATATCACACATTTTTTAACATGTTGTATCCAAACTTTAGTCGAAATTTCAGTAAAAATATCTTGTGACGACAAAATAATTTTTGTTATATAAAAAGTTAATCTACTGGTCCAGAAAACAGAATAAACATTTTAAATAATGATTATATTTACAAACTATTTATTGACAATTAGTAATTTTTCACTAAAAATAATTTATTTTTATTCAACCCGCTTGTGATGTACGAATGTACAATATTTTGCAAAATAAAGTCTTTTAAAACATTGTTTGTGCCTTATGATTTATTCTTACGTATTCCTTAGGAACAACACAGGACAATGTACTACACAGTGGAACAGCGTTTGGAAAATCCCAGCTATAAAAAAGTGGTACAGATGAAAATGCATTATTAAAACGCTGAATAACGGCCGAATTATTAAAAAAATATACAAAATTTTACAGCACAGATAACCGATAAGTGACCCATTGGTCAGAAAGGAAGAAGACCCAGGACAAGGTTCCTTGATAACATCGATGAAGACATGAGAAATATGGAAATACATGCTTGGCAGAGGAAGGCGATGGATAGGGACGACTGGAGAGAAATTCTTGAGGAGGCTAGGACCCACGCAGGGTTATAAAGCCAGAATGATGATATATTATGTTATATCTTGAAGATTTGTACAGGAGATTTTAATGCTAAGCTGGGAAATAAAGAAAACCAAAGTGAAACCGCACTAGGAAACTACGGCTATGGAGAAAGAAATGAAAGAGGGACCATGCTTGTAGATTTTTTACACGAAGAAAATCTTTTTTCTATGAACTCATTCTTTCAAAAAAAAGCCCCAACGAAAGTGGACGTGGAAAAGTCCAGACGGTTTCACAAAGAACGAAATAGATTTTATCATTGCTAATAAAAAAGAAATTGTACAAGATGTATCTGTTTTAAACAGATTTACAATTGGAAGCGATCACAGATTAATTCGAGCAAAAATTCTGTTCAATTTAAAGAATGAACGAACAAAAATGATAAAATCAGACAATCGTAAATGGACCCCGCCCGAAAATACAGACCACTTACATGACATCACTGACCATAACCTTCAACAAATCAACGACGAAACACAGGTCGAAGTTGTAAACGAAAGTATCGTAAAAGCCCTTAAAGAAGCGGAGAAGTTGTGCTGTCCTAAAATGAAGAAAAACATGAGAAAATAAGTCTCAACACAAAAAATCTGATCGAAGAAAGAAGGAGGCTAAAGGACAGGTATAACACAAACTACGCAGAATTTAGTCAACTCGGTAAAACAATAAACATAGAAATCCGAAAAGACATACGGCAACATAACATGAGAGAGGTGACAAGGGTGATAGAGAAAAATAGAAGTCTGAAAGTTCTAAGACACAACATGTCCACAGGAAAAAAGAACATACATAAGTTAAGAAATAAACAAGACGACATTGTGACTGATAAGGAAGAAATAGTGAAAACAGTGGAAGACTTCTACAGACAACTCTATGAAACAAGTGAATCCGATGAAAAACGCCCTTTACCAAAGATAGAGAATCAAGGCTCAGAATTAATGCCGAACATAACTGTTGACGAAATTAAAAATGCGCTTCGGGTGATGAAGAACAATAAATCCCCAGGTGAAGACAGGGTAATGACCGAAAGCCTAAAACTAGGAGGAAATAAGCTCTTACTGACACTTGCTAAATTGTTCAATAAATGTCTGTGCGAAGCGATAACACCGACGCAGTGGAACAAAGCGGAAATCATCTTACTTCATAAGAAGGGAGATATCAGCGACCTTAGAAACTACCGCCCCATTAGCTTGTTGTCACAAGTATATAAGCTATTTACAAGAGTTATTACCAACAGGCTAGGAAGTAAGTTGGATTTCTATCAGCCAAGAGAGCAGGCAGGTTTTAGAGCAGGATATGGCACGAATGATCATTTACAAGTAATTAAGAACTTAATAGAAAAAAGTGTTGAATATAACAAGCCATTAGTCATAATATTTGTTGACTACGAAAAAGCTTTCGACACAATAAGTCATCAAAAGATGTTAAAAGCCTTAACAGAGTGCTGTATAGATCATCGCTATATAAACATATAACATAAAAAGACCAACTATTTAAAATAAAACGGGGAGTGCGACAGGGAGACACAATTTCGTCAAAATTGTTTACAACATTATTAGAGCATATGTTTAAGAACGCAAATCTGAGTGAAAAAGGAATTAAAATCAATGGAGAAATGCTTAGTCATTTGAGGTTTGCGGACGATATTGTCCTTTTTGCTGACAGAATCGATGATGCAGTATCGCAACTGAAGAAACTATACCTAGCCTCCCTACAAGTTGGATTAAAAATCAACCACACAAAAACACAAATCATGACAAATCTTGTGTAAAGATTTCAGTAAATGGCATGCATATAGAAGAAACCACCTCTTATAAGTACTTAGGACATGAGATACGCATAGGAAGAGATAATCAAACGTGCGAACTAAGCAGCCGCATAGGACTCACTTGGGTGGCATTCGGCAAGCTGAGCTATGTTCTTAAATCAGAACTGCCTATGTGTCTTAAAAGAAAAGTCTATAATCAGTGCGTGTTGCCAGTACTTACATATGGTACAGAGACATTAACACTAACCAAGAAAGTAAGAAATAAAATTTGTGTTACCCAAAGAGCCATGGAACGATCGATGTTGGTAAAAATCGATGTTATTGGAAAAACAGTATTAGTAAGTCAGTAACTAGAGGATACATCATTTATGTTTTTTAAATAACGAAACATATAAAATCAGAATTTTGGTCTTTATTGAAGGTAAACTAAATGCACGAACAAATACTTACCATGTCCATGTTTTTTTCCTGTTTTTCCCTCATAATTTACTATGGAATCACTAACAGGAGAATTTTACTGTCATCATGTCATGTGTTTGTCTTTTTAAAGACGAATTACACGCTATGATTTTTTCTGACGAATATTCTCAAGTTAAAGTTGATTTCATGTAATCGAATGAACTATCTTATAAGTAAAGTCGTCCCAGGAGCGCAACTCTACAATATTGGCAATATCATTTTAAAGTCGTCTACTTTAAAATGCATAATGTATGGATTCATAATAATATGAATTATCAACGTATTTTTATCTTTAATTGTGGCTTATTCCCAGTTAAATAGTAATTAATTTAAAATGCACAAGAAAATAGCTTCAGAACAATATTAATTTAAACTAATTGTTACCGAGATATTCTATGTTTATAAGCCAAAAAATTGTTTATATAAAACATTCCTGAGGTCGCCCAAATAATCCGATTTCAATTCTATAAAGTACGTTAGATAGACGGAGTGCTTTTTTATACGTAAAAAATTGACAAACTAGACCAATTTTTGTTGTGTAAGATTTTAAAGAATTTAAATTTGTACAATGCTAATCTGTACGTATATCATAAACTAAAAGCTGCGTCCTACCTTACTAATCCAGCATACATTCAACTAATCCAACGGTAGATCGAACCTCTTGTGCAGCTCTGATACAGTGACATGTTCAGCGTCGGCCAAGTATCCCAGAATCACCTGCGCCAGATCCTTCATTTCGTTGTACTCGTGTAGAGCGTCCATCTGCGGGTGAAGGTCGGTCGTAACACCATGACTTTCTAGTTCTGCTATTTCTTTATCTAATTTCGATTCTTCTTTCAGTAAACGCTCGTATCTGGACTTTAATTCTATGTTTGAAGACGTCTCTTTAGAGTCTACCTTTTTGATCTTTTTGGAGGATTTTGACAGATTTGACTGACGTTTGGAACTGTCCATTTAATTTACGGCATTTGGAAGTATCTGTAACCGAAAAACAGTATATATACTGATTATTTACAGCTTCAGGTACTACTATAAATAAAACCAATTTTTTATATGTTGGCGAACTTATTGAAAAGATACAAAATATGGTTTACACTAGAAAAACCACTTTCTTATTAATTTTATCCAATTCGTATACTCATACAATAATCATTATCACTTCTGAGTATTAAGTGGAAGTTCAATATGTTCTTTTCTTAATCGATTCATAATGCAATGGGCATTTGGGATAAAATTGTGCTGTAAAAATGTAGTCTACTGACATTTACAAACACAATACATTTAAAATTAATGTAAGTTAAAAAACGGAATAAAATCCCCAACATACATAGAGAAATCTGCGTCAACGAAAAATTTAAACCATCTTACTTTCGTTGATGATATACTGTTAATAGAAGATAACATCACTAACATCACCCAGAAGAATAATACAAGGATGGGCAGCATACGGATCTCTTAGGAACGTTTTTAAGAGAGACATCCCAACTAATATGAAGAAAAAGGTTTTCGACCAATGCGTGCTACCGGTGATGACCTATGGCGCAGAAACATTATCGCTCACAAAGAAAAACGCACAAAAACTATAGTGTATTTTTATGTATGAGAGAGTAATAAAACAATAAATTATGTATGCAAATCCCTAAACTGTTGATACGGGTGACTCAATGAAAAACAGATATTTGTCAACAAGTTTACAGAAGTATATAGGAAAACAATTTTAAATTGAGTATGACCACCAGGTATAAAGGTTGGAGCAGAATAGAATACAATAGTTGTGAGGGTTACTAATCCCTAAATAAGGTTGCCAGTGTCGGAGTGATGGAGGTTAACAGGTACTAATGAATTTGCAAGAAATGTAAGATGTTTATTTTATTGGTTATATATAACCAATAAAAGTTTAATAAGTACCTACCTATTTGCAAAATAAAGTTTAATTCTTTAGATAAAATAAAACGTTTTATTTTATCTGAAATGAGTGCATTCCACGAAGTAAGGGTTTCAACAATCAAACATTTAATTCTTTAATTCCAGGAATCTACGACAGTAATTGACTAGATAATTACCTTCTAAACTTATTCCACAGAAAATGTGATAGTGGGTTTTTCCATTTTGTAGGAAGGTCCAAGTGGCGTATTCAAAATTCTTAACAGTTCACTAAAAGTAGGTACTTCAGTTGCAAGGTGCAGTTTATTGTGTATACTAGTGTTATGGAAAATTTGGAAGTGCCGTGTAAACGCCGAAAAATTGGTCCTTTAACAGTTAATGAAAAAACATTAATATTTAATTGTTTTAAATCATTTACAGACAAACGTTTATGTGAAAGTGTTGATGAGACCGTTGAGTTAGTTAGCAGTACACTTGGTGTTATGAAATCTACGATTTACAGAGTTATTAAAGAAGAGAAATGTGGTAGTTTTCAAATGCCACGTAATGCTCCAGGGAAACCAAAATTTCAAATAGAATATCATTTTAAAGAAGGACTTCGACGGAAAGTGCATGAATTCTTCTTTAGACAAGAATTTCCAACATTGGATAAAGTTCTTGTCTCAGTTCGAGATGATAAGGATTACCCAGAAATGAGTCGAAGTACGTTATGGAAACTTTTAAAAGAAATAGGCTTCCGCTGGAAAAAGAATCCCAGAAAGTCTATTTTATTAGAAAGAAGCGATATTATCATATGGAGAAGACATTTTCTAAGAACCATAAAGGAAATGAGAAACCAAAAAAGAAAAATATTTTATCTTGATGAAACATGGATCAACGAGGGTTATACACCAAATAAATTTTGGCAGGATGAAACTGTTACAAGTCAAAGGCACGCTTTTGTAAATAACTTATCTACTGGTTTAAACCCACCACCAGGAAAGGGACGCAGGCTGATAATAGTACACATTGGCAGTTCAGACGGTTTTGTTGAAGGTGGTTTATTAACTTTTGAATCAACTCGTACCGGTGACTACCATGAAGACATGAACGCTGATGTCTTTCAAGAATGGTTCAAACAAATGATAGATCTTCTTCCTAAGAACTGTGTAATAGTAATGGATAATGCAAGTTATCACTCCAGATTTATAGAAGGACTGCCCACAACCAAGTGGTTAAAAAAAGACTTGCAGAATTGGCTGAGTTCAAAAAATATTACGTACCATCCCGGATCTATAAGAAAGGAACTTTATTCGTTGTGTGCCCTTCATAAAGAAAAATTTTAAAAATACGAAATTGATGAAATTGCCAAAAATCGTGGAATGACAGTACTTAGATCCCCACCATATCATTGTGAATTAAACCCGATTGAACTGGTATGGGCACAGATAAAGAGTGAAGTTTCAAGAAAAAATACCACTTTTAAAATTCATGATGTTAAACAGTTGTTTTTGGAGGCCGTAAATAATGTAAAACCTGAAAACTGGGAAAAGGCAGTAAATCACACTATTAAAGAAGAGGAAAAAATGTGGAAGCTGGACAATATTACTGATAAAATGATCGAGCCAGTTATTATAAATCTTGGTTCTGAAAGTTCATCTTCTGAATCTGATTTGGATTTGTAACAAGTAGCTGTAAGTTTTATATTAATATTTTTATTCATCTATTTAACATATCTTAGACGGTTTTAAAAACTCTTTTTCTCTTTTGTAATTTTTAAAAATTAAAAAAAATGTGAATTTTTTAAAACCCTTTTTAATGTAGGCCAGTCAGTTCTAATATAGTGTGTGATAAAAGAGGTCACTTTTGTTTACATACACATAACACTTTATAACACTGAAATAATTCATTTATAAAGTAATTTTTCAATTAATCTTGAGCACGCCCATGGAGTGGTCGAAGGTACCAGTTAAAATTATGCTAATTACTCTCTCGTTCATAAAAATAAACTATAAGAGTAGCGCAGAGAAGAATGGAGCAATAAATGATAGGGGCCACTCTACAGTGAAGGAGACAGGATTAGAAAAGAAGATCTACGAGCTAAGGCCAAGCCTACGTCATTGAGCTGTAACTTAAAATAGAAATGGGCTGGATACGTTGCCAGAATGATGGACGGAAGATGGACTCGCAAACTAGAATGGAGACCAAGAGCCGATAAACGTAGCAGAGGAAGACCACCAACACGATGGCAAGACGACTTACGAAAGACAACAAAAAACTGGATACAGAAAGCCCAAGATAGAACACTTTAGAGACAAACAGGGGAGGCCTATGTCCAGCAGTGGATTGAGAGAGGCTGATGATGAACATCACTAAGAGAGGAATTACAAAAAAAATCCACAAGGAAAACAATTCCTGTAGCTGGCTGTATAACACGTATCACAAAAAAGAGGTTAGTCTTCGTAAGTGGGTATATTTATTTAAAAACCCTTAAAAGGGCTACATAAAAAAACAAACGTTTTCGGACTAAACAGTCCATCATCAGGTTTAAATTTTAAAATTACTAGGTTAAAATGCCTGAGCCACCAAAATACATGGGTAAAAACGTTACTATACTTTTTTGAATTACAAAAGGCTCTTCAAGCCTTAGAGACTCATGGTTTCAACTTTCATCACTATCTTCCTCAAAGCTTCTAACATTTTTGACAACGAAGTTTAATCATGTTTCCTTTGGTCGTTCTTCATTTTTTCCTCATTCCTCTCCAAGAAACAGTTGTTTAACGTATTAAACATCTAGCATTTAGAGTATGATACTAGATTGGTCATACACTTATATCACCTCTTTGATTTTCGCCTTGTTTACATGTGCGCCTTAATAACCTTAAAGTTTTTTTTTGTTGAACGCCTACTCCCTCATATTTGCAACTTAGTCTAATTCTTCTTTGTAAAAATCCACGTTTCACTCCCATATAAAAGCGATGCTTCCACTATTGTTCTATCTAGCTGAATTCTAGATACTACTATTGCAGTATCTGAGCCTGGACAAACTGCCGTGGAAGGAATACTTGTTCTTTAAGGTGAAAAAGTTGTGTGTGCAAAAGAGTTCTTGGGGACAAATGAGAGTCAGCTATCGAAAATATTAAATTTGATTTATGTGTCCATGGTACAGGAGCTATAAGAACCACACCCACAATAGCTCTTAAAATTCTTTTGGGTTTACCGGCTCCACATATAGGAGGATATAAGAATCATCGCCAATCTGTATTGGAATCAGACAGCAACAGTACGTCTTCAAAATTTCAACGAAACAGAAGATTTCTCCATTAAAAAAGGAGTAAGGCAAGGTTGTATACTGTCCCCAATGCTGTTCAATTTATACGTAGAAAAAGCCTTCGCAGAGGCAGTGGAAGACTCTAATAAGGGTATTAAAGTTAACGGCATATTTATTAATAACATCAGGTATGCCGATGATACAGCCATAGTGGCAGATAACATCGAAGATCTTCAATGCCTTTTAAATGATCTAACTCTTGCAAGTGAAGCTCGGGGTTTGAAAATAAATATCAAGAAGACAAAATCAATGATTATAAGTAGAAATGATTACCCCAACGCAAAGATATATGTCTCTGGAGAAGAAATCGAACAAGTCAGGTAATTCAAATACTTGGGATGTTTGCTGAATGAGGGTTGGGACCCCGAGAATGAAATAAAGAGTAGAGTTGAACAAGCCAGAAATGCTTTTTGAGGCTTCGTAAGTTTCTGACTGATCGCAAATTGGACTTCAACCTCCGATACAAGATGCTTAAGTGTTACGTGTGGCCTGTTCTCCTGTACGGAATGAAAGCATGGACGTTAAAGGCCAGTTCCATTAACAAACTTGAAGTGTTTGAAATGTGGTGCCTGCGTCGAATGCTCAGAATATCATGGACGGACAGGGTCAGAAATGAGGAAGTACTCGAAGAGCGGGCTTACAGGATAGGAACTTTTTAATTATGTAAAAAGTAAGAAGACTGCATACTTGGGGCACATTATACGAGGAGAACGATACACTTTTCAGCAACTGATACTCGAAGGGAAAATAGAGGGTAGGAGAGGTCTCGGACGTAAAAAAATGT